GCACGACGAGACCACCAGGATTCGCGGTCTCTCTTCAGGCTAGCACGGAGTTTTGCCCGGAGCTCTTTGCGAGTTTCATTGTGGTCGCTCCCAGCCGGAATATGCCGGCGAGCATCTATAAGTTCCAAAGACTGTGTAGAGACCCAATGTTCATGTTGGCGATTATGCATACCACATGAGGATTTGCCTGCTGCTAGTAAGGCCTGTTGCATATGAGACCAGTGAGCTTCAATTGCATCCAGTGAGCGTTTATCCAACTCGGATGACAGCGTAATTTGATAGGCGTTCAGAACAGCTGGCTTCACCAGTCTGCCGCTGTCAGTGCGCTCACAACATCGTCGCGGGCGTCCACCAAAGCGCATCCGCAGGTCAGCACATACAAGTGCATGATCGGTGTCAACACCTGTGCTCCAAACCGAGCGACAGTTCTGGACGCAGCCTCTCCAGCGGTAACTGATAGCAATGTGCTCGATTTGCGTCCATAGCTGGTTCGAGGCTGGTGGGCGCCAAGTCACCCTCCGACGGGTGCTGTGTCGGAAATTAGTGCTCGCAAGAAACAAGCGAGCATCTTCACACAAATGAAGTAACCGCTCACCGCTAACATTACGGGAGCCTATACCATGTTGGCCGCCCAGATGCAGCTCATCTGTGGATAATTTTCCAACTTGAGCGTTCAGATCCCCAGCCAGCACTACAGTGTCCGAGCTTCTTCTGTGGCGAAGGAGTTCGTTCAGTTGGCGATAGAAGTCGTCTTTTACCGAGTCATCGCTACAGTTTGTCGGTGCATAGGCAGCGATAACGAATAGACACCTGTTAGTCCCACGCGACTTCGAAGTTTTGAACGAGCCAGCCAATCGGACCGCACACATCCGGCTACTGATTGGAATCCAATCAACCAGAGCAGCTTCAGTCCGGGGACTCAGGGCAATACCAACACCGGCTTGGCCGGTGCTCGAAGCTGCATCGTCATCGGATAGGTGCAATGAGAAAGTGCTGCTAGTGTCACCTGAAGGGGATCGCAGAGTGAGTACAGAGCTCGAGTCTTGCAGGCGGGTTTCCGATAAGCAGCAGGTATCAATCGATAGGGTCTCTAGTGTGCGGGCAAGTGCTGCCTGTTGACCGATCTGAAGCAATGTGCGAACATTGAAACATGCCAGTCTGAAGGAGGATCGAGGGCTCCAAATGGAAGCCGATGAACTGGAATGGGCCGCTTGCTTGGACATGGGCCTGTTGACAGTGCAGGAATGATGCTCTGCGTTCACATGTGAGTTGAAACTAAAAGACAAGCAACTATTGAAGCAAGGTGGGGGAGGGCCGAGAAGTTGGGGGTTGAAAGCAGGGGGGATAAAAGTAAAGCTGGAACCGGACGATAAGAGTGAAAAAGCGCAAGAAGGGGAATAAGAAGATGGGAAGGCTTGAGCAGTAGCATCCAAACCCCTATCCACCCTGCTCGATGCAGCAGATAGGGCACCGTTGATTATCCTCTGCGGTGGCCAGAGCATCAGAAATCGGTTTGGGGAAGGATTCATTGTATTGCTTGGGCAGGATACTGTCAGGTTGCCCAGGCCTAGACAGGAGAACGATTAGGGTTCTCCCTTGAGGAGGGTAGCGGCTGCCAATGGGCTGTTCTGTTCCATAAGGAGATCATTCTCTCTGGTATGACTCATACTCACTACCCATGTAAGCCCCATCCTCGATTACGGCTCACCCGCGGTCTATCCTCTTACAAAGACCGAACGTGTGCTCATAGAGAGAATCCAACAACGAGGGTCAAACTCGACCTCTGCGTTCCGCTATTTGCCTTGCGACCAGCAACTTCGAAAGATAAACATGTTCCCCCTCGATTATCCTCGTCGTCGTGGTGACCTGATTTACACCAGACGCATTCTGCGAGGGATGATGGGAAATGAACTAAAGGAGTTTATTCCACTCAGAGTTGGTAGCTCGATGAGGGGTTACTCCTGAAAACTGTTTAAGCCAAGGAGGCTCCGAGTCCATCCCGTGTGGTGATGGACTGGAACGATTTACCAGAGCCAGTCGTCAGCGTACAGTGAGAAAAGTTTCAAACGACTGTTGGATTCTTATGTGCTGAGCAATAAAAATAAAAATAATATGTCAACTGTACGCCACGACGGCGCTTCTCTGCCGTGCGACCAGCACCAGTCGCACGCAGGCTCAGTAAACCGCGAGGACGCCTACGCCATCGCGGATTTGACCCCGCGCAGCAAACTTAGGACACAAGCTCGTTACCTCTAAGCTGCGTGCTGATCAAGACAAGATCGTGTCGTTTTCGCTGCCAACGTGACGGTTCCCTATGAACAGCGCATCATAATGATCCCCGAATCTCTGCTTCAGACGGGACGCGAAGGAGCTGACATGGGAATCCCCCTTCTGCCATCTACCACTCCAGTGAACAAATGTTACACCAACTAAATCGTCTACCGTAGGCACCAATCACTTTTGAAAACTTTCACTTGAAACCTAGAAACCAAACGTTTTACGCAGATAAAGATAATGACCGAACGGTGTGAAAAAGATGTAAGGAAGTTGTATTCTTCATTAAGAGCCCTGTGCCAGAATGCGGAAGACAGGTCTACCTTCGTGAAATACTTATCTTGGCCAAACGCAGTGAAATGTCCTCTAGGGCAGGCAGCGCATGATACTCTCTACATAGGGTCTCATTCATCGCTTTCGGGCCAATACACACGCGCATTTCGCTCGTCTTTTTCGTTGTGTCTGCGACCTGATTAACCCAGTCCGTTTATTCGTCAGCATTGGCACTTCTTTGTGAATGATGACAGAGGCAAGCAATTTGGAGGCGATGATTCCTCTATGATTACCGCATTCCGATCTTGAGTATCCCTTGAGAATTACGACTATGACGGAGCGCCTCCAGTCGGTTGGGACAGTTTCCTGCTCCCACAGCTTCACTATTAACTCGTGTAAAGCTTACACAAGAGCAGGTCCCCGGAATCTGAAGAGGGCTGGAGGAAGATTATCTGCTCCCGCGGCTTTATATAACTTCACCTCGAAACTTACCTCGGTTCGATCTTTTCGGCTTCCTGTTTAATGTCTGAAGGACGATGAACACGTTTGCCTTGATGTACCCACTGACATGACTTGGAGCCGGTCTAAGTGGCGTTCGTGCTGTGCGTTTCTTTGTCTCTCCCTATCCCTGTTAGCTTCCCCCTCTAACCAGGGTCTCATTTTTTAGCATAATATAATTTTGCATAATAAGTTCTTTTCTGCTGAATAGTAGCCGGCTGGTAGCTTTCCGGAACGACGTCCATCTGTTACTGGTAGCTCAGCTGTCATGCATCTGCTGCAGGTTTTTTCCTCTTTTTCATTTATTTATTGCGGCAGAGTAACCGAAATGTTATCCACTTCTAGACAACGCGTATATTGATGATGATGTCTTGAGGTTGTGTCTGATGCTGGCCTTCTGGACAGCAGTACCTGCACAGCTTAAGTGTCGTGTGGTAAACGAGAATACTAGGAAACAGTAAGTGTTTACTAGATACTGTCGAAGCATAGTAACGTTCTGGTGCTATAAAGTCCCTTAATTTACTTTCTTATTTTGGACCGATTGTGCTTCAACACATTATACAGCTGGAATGCTACAAGAATCTTTCAGCTTTGCAACTTGCCATGTAAGTGACATACCACACATTAGTATTCAACACTTGCCGATTTCACGGAAAATGTGCTGCAAGTATTTGGCTACTCTTGTCTGAGTAGCTGGCCGAACAGCCCCGTGGTGCTCGCGGGGTGGCTCGGGTTAATGATCCATCTCCATCAAATGATTCGGCGGCAGTGTTCCCGGACGTGGTGGCTTACCGCCTGGCAAGCGTTCGACCTATAGAGACCACAGCTGTCTGTTAAACCACACTGTGACGTAGAGGATGTGACTCACCGCTAAATAAAGTCCCTGCCTTTTGCCAATCCGGATGATACTACGCACTCCACAGACGTCAGTTATTATGTACAAAGACCGTTTCTCAAGCTGACGGTCCGACCGAACATAGTTCCAAATGTAGCGTCGCATTTGCAACTTCAAACAATAGCTTTCTACATTAGTGCGTACACATACACACACATTGATCCAGTATGCTACTAGCCAACTTGCAACACTATTGTAGATTTACCGGTCCTTTATGTTCTTCGCATTGTCAAGGATAAATTATCTGCTCATTTACAAACATTATCTTTGCAACACTATACATGTTGCACCGATTTACTTTCACCGAATCACAACAGGGAATCATCCGCTAAAGTAAACGGCGTCGCAGTAGTATCACTGATCTGAAATGATTGTCACCAATTTGCACTACGCCAGAGTCCTCTAATGCAATGCGGTCTAATAAAGAATTTTACAGATGAAGATGTTGATGAATCGACAAATTTCGAAATGCTTCTAAGGGCTCTTTGAGAGAGCCGTACGCTTAAAACTTCATACCGAACAGGAAATCAGCATGTCCGGGTATCTGAGTTATTTGAGGCTTCGTATCTCTTTTGAGTAAGACGCAAGTGGGAAACTCCACCTTTTTCGCTCACTTGGCTTCAAGTATTTTCAACTCTATGCTTTTCAGGTAGCATTCAAAGAGTTAGGCAAGTAAAGAGCACTGTGGCTTTGATGTACTTGTGCAATCCGCTTGTTACCTGGCTATGAAAGTTGCTTTTGTAAGTTTTCCATGGTTTTCTCATCTGTCAGGTTACTGGTTCCAATAAAGGGATAGGATTTGGAATTGTTGCCAAATTGGCACATGCTTATGGTTCCACCGGAGAGTGGGACGTCTACCTAACAGGTAATTTCCTATTGCTATCTCACTGATGTGCAGCTCGAAATGTTGATTTGGGCAAAAAAGCATGGGAGGAAGTAAAAGGCAGAGGCCTCCAGGTTAAGTTCCATCAGCTGGATATTACCGATGCTGAGAGCCGGACAAGTTTCCTGGCGTACATGAAAGCCCATTATCTAGACGGGATCAACATCGCCGTTAATAATGCTGGTATTGTATATAAAGCAAGTGCAATGGTTTGCTCATCACGTTGCAGCACGACTCAACGCTCCGTTTGGCGAACAAGCTAGGGTTACTGTGCACACTAATTTTACCTGTACCCTTGATTTCACATTGGAATCTCTTCCTCTTCTCGCAGAGAGCACCAGGTATACGTTGGAGTAACTTACCTCAATTCCGCAGAGTTGTCCACGTGTCTAGCATATTCGGGCACATGACACTGAAAAACTGGGAGATGAGTTGTACGCTAAGTTTACTTCAGTGATGAGTTTAGACGAACTGAGAGCTTTGGTTGGGGAATTCGTGAAGTGAGTCGGCTTTTGTTTTTTGCCCCGGTATTTCCATCTGCCCCAACCAACAACATTACTTATGCTATCTGGTGGTGCCTTTGGGATTTACAAAATAGATGAAGTGGGCCCTGTTTAGTCAAAGGAGAAGGTCTGATGAGCGATTTAATGTTATTAGAGTCGTAGCGAGCAGGAAGTTTTGTCATCTGCTTTGCTTTCGATTCGTTGCACATTGAAGCGAAACGAGGTTCTTGTGGCAGCGGCGTCGGTTCACTTTGAGGTAAACCTCGATCATTTTGATCGTGAGGACCGTATCCGAAATGGAATTATTTGGGTGTTGCTCCTCCCAAAACTGACACACCACGACCGCGGTTTCGTCCTGGTTTGGACTCATCAGTTGGCTATAGCCTGAGTTGGTTTGGAACTCAGAGCCTAGTGGTTCACGGCAGACGCCCTGAAAACTAGGCTACTGAGATCCGCGGGCAACGCTTGACACAACGGAAAGGAATTCGAAGTTTAATTTGTGGAACCCGTGCCTACACCTTGTGTTAACAACATACCGTCACAAAGAGCTGGCTATCGTTCATAGGTAAGGCTGTATCAGCGAGACAGCTTCCTTGCGGCTATCAATCTCCGCGTCATAATTAGCCGTTACCCTGCAGATAACCCAGCACCAAACACGCATTAAAAAGGCGGTCCGACTACTTGACGACAGCAGACGCGCCACTTGTGTCGACTGCGAGCCAGATGCTGTAAAGTCTCGAGCTAAGCACGAGGTGACTTTCCTGGACGCCAGCTCGGAAGGCGACACGAACCAGCGGCCCGCAGTTTGGTCGTAATTGACTTCATTTCACGCCACTAAGTCAACTCTGGTCCACCTCGGGCCTTGCACCACCCTACATCTGACAGACTAAACAAGACCGTCCTAGGTAAGCAATGACCAAGCATACGTAGTACGTGCCTATGCGAACGCAACTACTTCAGTGCTATCAGTGCTCATCATTGCCTAGTACTTACCCACCCCATCATGGTTGCTGACACGCTGGTGCTACCCAACACCATCAATTCTCGGTAGACAACGGTAATCGATGAAATCAAGACGCCTCAGATCATCAGACTGAAGGGGCCAAATCTCATTCCTATAAAGCAGGACGGACCTCACCGTGGCCTTGTACACTTCATTCCAGACGGAAGGAAATTCCCTTCTGTCGCCAAATATGCTGTAGGTTCAAGAATGCAGTCCTGGCTTTTGCAATGCGTGAACTGACTTCAGTTCTTATGCGCCCATCGTTGTTTATGCAGCTACCGAGTTAACCAGCTATCAACTCCCTCGAGTTCCTCATTATCTAGGGCCAAGGTATGTCATCATGTGGTGGTGGTCATGCAGCAACACTTTGCACTTTAATGTTGCGAAGCGCATACCAAATAATCGGACCACTCTACACAGGATATTCAGGGTGGATAATGCTTCCGCAAAATCGCTAACGAGCAAGACAGTATGGTCCGCATAATAAAGATAAATTAGCTCCTCATCAGGCAACACCTTGACGCTTGCATCATGAAGCTCCGCAAAGGAACACTCTACGATGCAGCCCACGGCGGAACTGAACAAAATTGGGAAATTGGGCAACTCTGAAGAATGCCACTTGTTGTCGGAAAGGCACCCTATAACTCATTGTAGTCCCTAAGGCAGCCTGTGGTATTCGGCTATGGACCATTTGATATGTTCACATAATTCCTGGGAACATCTTTCACGCAAGTATGTGGAAAATTTATCATTCATTCACTACACACGTTAGCTGTAGATGGAAAGCACCTCGGTTATTGTGCCGCAATACAAAAGATAAGAAGAAGAAAATAAAGAGGAAGAAAACACTGGCACGTCAGCTGAGTCCCCAGTAACGGATGGACATCGTTCCGGAGAGCTTACAGCCGACTGTTGTGCCGCAAAAAGTTATATAATGCCTAACGAGTGAGATCGTGATTGGAGGGGAATGCTAAGCAGGTGGGGGTGGACAAAGGAACTCTCAACACAAACGTCATGGGGCCGGCTCCTAGCCATATCAGCAAGTGTGTCCAACCGTACGCCTTCATCGTCCTTGGGACCCCAACCAGACGGTCTGAACGCATTAACCGACGACAACTTCTAAGTGAGAGTTTTCCTTTCTCTTGACCAAGTCATCGCTTGGCCTCGCCTCCTCTTCTTCCAACCTCACCCCCGACTCGCAAACAATTCCCTTCGCTGGAGCAGGTGTGCCGGCATCACAACATGTGGCCCATCCGTCGGGGCCTAGTGCATGACATAATGGTGCTGAGCGGTTCACTCGCTCTTCATGAACCAAATACTTGACGCCGAACACGCTCATTGCTCATGCGGCGCTGCCACCAGACATGAGCTGAGCTGCGAAGGCAGCGATGCTCGAATATGACGAGCCTCTTTATGTCTGTCCATCTGATGGGCCAGGTTTCACAACCATACAGGAGAGTCAAAAGGACGGCTGCGTTATAAACTCTGCCCTTCAGGGCGAAAGTAATGTCGCGTCTGCACCACGGGTGGCGGAGATTGACAAAAGTACGTCAAACTTTTGCTCTACGCTTTGCAACCTCATCTTCGATCCCATGGGCGCTAATATAGCTGCACAGTTACTTGAATTCCTGAACGACTTCTAGCAAACCACCACAAAGCTTTAGCGCAGGGGTGGGTCCCTGCCAATCTTGTAGACGTACATTGCATTTCGATGGAGTGAAGCATAGCCGAAAACGACAGACAGCCAGTGCTAATCGGTCCAGTGCTGTTTAATATGTTTAGGAACTGTCACAGATTACGGCAATAACGTCCGAGTACTTCAAGTCAGGCAGTTGCTCACCAGGAATTAGTACAACACCTTCTACGTCGAGTCCAGCGAATGCTGATTCCATGACTTCGTCAAATGCGAAGTTAAATAGAAAGGTGGGAGTAGGCAAACTTGTCTCACACCGCTGGTGATATGAAGGATGGCAACAGGTTGTCATAAACCCTCACTCTGCCCGAAATATGCGCGTACACCGCTTCGATATTGTTTAAGTATTTTTCAGGCCCAACTTTCCTCAGCAGCTAGTCCCAAATGGAACATCGATCGGCTGAATCGAAGGCACCATTTGGGTCAAGAAACACGACAACGATGGCTCGCCAATAAACATGGCGGTGCTCCAACAATTGACGTAAGGTGAAGATTTGGTCGATGAAGCCCCGACCTCGACGCAACCCGGCTTACTCTTCACGAATCTGGCTTTCACGGGTGCCAGTCAGTCTGTGGAGAATGACGGATGCAAGCCTTTTAGAGGCAATTGAGATCGGACTGATCTCTCTATGACTGCCGCATTCCGAACGGGCACCTCTCTTGCAAATTGGGACTATGACTTTGCACCTATCCTGTATCATAATCTGCTTTCTCAGATGCTATGAGCCGTAGCAACTGGATCTACGAAGCTTCACCGTACTGTTCGTATCCGATCTACCAAGCTAATTGAACTGCTTTTATTTGTAACTGATACTTCAGGCATTTTTTCGTAGAAAGTATAAGTCACGATTAAAATTCACGCACAATAATATGCCTCGACGGGGAGTCGAACCCCGGTCCACGAATTTCCGGTCCGCTGCTCTACCACCTGAGCTACAGAGGGCTGACGATTAAGTACGCAAATTTTAACACATGACTTCTGCTTGGTGCGCGACGTATTGCCAATAAGCTCACAGTAACTGTCCTGATGTTGCAGATTGGCTAACTCACACATCACTTCCCAATGGACCGAATACCTGTCCTTCAAAATTCCAACTTCAGGCATTCACTAAGTTTATTGGAGCCACGAGGTACTTAATTGTTGTGGTGTGTCATTATACCTTCTAGGGCTGTATTGGGTTACTTGGCAAATGTCAGTCGTACACCCACTTACCTACCCGCCCTCTTCATTTGTTTACCGACCGAATTCCTCATTATGTTTTCTCATTACCACATATGTTTAGACTAGGCGCCTGTGCGATTAAATTATGACCATGGGCAGTACGCTGGAACTTCGTACCGGCGCTTCGCTACTAGTTAACAACCAGATGTTACATGTGGCTTGGGGTGTCGCGTAATTTCAAGCCAGTGACAGTTACCAAATTTATAAAATATCCGGATTCGATCTTGCTGACTACTAAACAATAAAGCCACTCGGATCAAGGATCAGCTACCTCACACATAAGAAGACAAAATCCTCTCCAAAACTCAGTTGTCCTCCGGAAACTACATTGTTACCAGTCAGAACAGCTCTGTTTAGTTACCTCGATAGTAGTGACCCAGAAGAATGATCTGAGCTATTAGAGAATGTCATTGGCCGACCCCGATAAAGGAGCGCTCTCATTGGTTGGTTCTTGTCATATAGGTTTTCATCTGGTTTGCTCCGGAATACCTGTATAGAACCAGGCCCGATAGGCTTCTATAAGCGGGTTCCCCCAACACACTCCCGCTCAATTTGTTTACAACTTTCTTACAGGATCCAGCTGCAAGATCGCTTTTTGTGGCCCCTGGACATAGTTCATTCTGTCACGCTTGAGTCCTAAGATGTGTCGAAAACAGGATAGACAATTAAATCAAGCATCCATTGTTATCTCTTTGGATATTGGTTTAGGTGTATGACCAAAGTCACTGTGTCCACTCGGGCTTCATGGATTACGTGTCCAAGTTTCCTTTCTATCAAGCCTTTCGTCCACCATGGTCTTCTCGTGTAATAGTCTCTGATCCAAATATTGTCCTGGGTGCCCTAGGCATAATTGCGTTCCGTGATTTTGGTTGGAGCACTGTTCTATTCTCGCGTTTTTCTCTTGTGATGCAATACGCTTC